CGGTTGCTGCGGGCAGGCAACCTCTGGTTATGAAGACACAGGACAGCGGATGGGCAGAGGTTGATGTGCCCACTCCCGATGGGGCAGGGGTCTGACCCTTGTTTCTCAGAGTGTGGCCTGCCGGCCTGGGCCAGGCAAAGTGCAGACTCTCAGAGCCCTAGAACTCCTGATGGGGAATGTGTGATTCAGTACCATCCCATGGGCTTCACGGGCCCAAAAGAGTCTAAGGAGCCTGGGGACCCAGTGCAAGAGCCAGCTGCACCCCTGGCCAGGCTCTCGTGTGCACTGAGGTACACCCCTAGGCCCCTGGAGTGGCAAGCTGTGCTCACCGAGCAGTGGTGAGTGCTGGCTTGAAGGGCTGTCCTGCTTGCTTTCTCTGCAGGCGTCAAGCTGGGAATGCAGTCCATCCCGATTGCCACAGCTTGCAGCATTTACCATAAATTCTTCTGCGAGGCCAACCTGGAGGCATACGACCCTTACCTGGTGGCCATGGCATCCATGTACCTGGCCGGCAAGGTAGAAGAGCAGCACCTGCGCACCAGGGACATCATCAACGTGTCCAACAGGTGATGGCTGGGGCAGGGCGTGGGCAGGGCCTCCTGACAGCTGCCCTGGGGCTGGGAGCCGAGGGTTCCCATTGGACGCCACCCCATGGGGCAGCAGTCACAGTTGGACAGCCTAGAGCCAGGGCTGGAAGCAACAGCAGCAAAGGTGGCAAGGAGCCTCGTGTCAGGAGCCATGGTTCTCTGGGAGGGAAGCTGGAGTCCAGGCAGAGAGCAGAGGTGAGACTTGAGCTGAGGAAGGTGGATATATGCGAAGATTCTTTTGGAGCCTGGGGTAGGATTGAGTGAGCCAGGCCTGGCTGGAGGCAGGAAACACAGGCGAGAACCTCTTCCTGTTGGGGAGGGCAGGGACCTAGCCTCAGGTGGTACAAGAACTCTGGTCCAGGTGCACAGCATCATGTGGACCCCACACCGCTGTCAACCCTCCCACCATATGGATCTGGAGGGCCCTGGATGCTACCACATCCAGCGAGGACAACTGTCCTTGCCGCCAGGCCGACTGTCACAGGCAGCACCACTGATGTGGCATGTGAAGGCTCACGGCACCACTGGTCTCCGGACGCCTTGCGGAACGACAGCGGCAGTGGGGGCTCAGGCCGCGAGCCTGCTGCTTTCCTCCATGCGTTTGGTCTGCGGACGGACATGCAGGGCGGCTGGTTTCGGGAACCCCGCTGAAGGACGTATAGTCTGTGTGTGGACGCCACGCCCTCAGGGCCTGGCTGGGTCGCCGTCGGTTGACTCACATCAGGTGAGCCTCACTGTCCTCTGCACAGGTACTTCCATCCGAGCAGCGAGCCCCTGGAGCTGGACGCCCGCTTCTGGGAGCTGCGCGACAGCGTGGTGCAGTGTGAGCTGCTGGTGCTGCGGGTGCTGCGCTTCCATGTCTCCTTCCAGCACCCGCACAAGGTACGTGCGGGTCTCGGGCACCATGCCCTCTCTGCCCTGTGTCTGGCAAGTGTCTGACCTGGTACCAAGAGCACAGCCTGTGGGCAAGGGCCAGGCTGTGGCAGTGCCTCCCGACTCTCATCCAGCTCCTGGCCGGCTCTGTGGGCCTTCTCTGGTGGCTCATTTCAGTTTCTGCATTTTCCCCACTCCTGTGGGCCCACAGGTGGGATCTGTGGGCCCACGCGGGCTGTGAGCACTGAGCTTCAGGGAAGTGGGACTGGCTCTGTGCCTCGGAGCTCGCTCAACACTGCTCTGTGGGATCCCGTGCAGAGCTGAGTGGCTCGAGCTAAGGAGCACGCTTTTAGCTGCCAGGAGCATGTACACAGCGCGCAGCAGCAAATGGGAGAACGTGCCTCTTAGGGGCACAGGGCTGAGGCTGGGCATCTGTACACAGGCAGGTGCTCGGAAGGGTGACCTGCAGGGAGAGGTGGAGGACTTGTGGTGTGCAGCTGTGGGCTAGGATCTCTGCC